GAATGTAAATTAAGGTAAGAACACACAGTCACATGACATATTGCTGGCAATAAATTAATAGCAAAGGTTGCTAACCCCAAGGTGTTGCGGTTGTGGAGTAATTAAAATCCACACGTCTTCCAGATAGGAGTGGGCACAAGTTTGGCATCCTCTACTAAACTTGGTTTGTAAGATGAACCTGTAATGAAACCGAAGTTTTCATTATAGGCGGACCCTTCCTGTATCGCATTCCCTGAGTCCATCTCCGATTTCAGCTGCAGGCTTGGAAAGTTGCAACTCTCTGTACACTGCGACATGGAGCTAGTGTCCACCACGCGCCTTCCTCACCTCTCTGCAGGGACTTGATTGCAGGGGCTGGGGTGGGGGTTAGGAGGAGAGTCTCTGATGTCAGATTAGTAGGATAGACCTGCAATCAAAGTCATTAAGTCTAGGACCCTCGACAGCCTGGGGACAGCTTTTAGGAGAGGAGGAATTCTTGCAGTAGATAAGGCTCCTCTTTCAGGGTCTCTTCCAGGAAGCCTGCCTTTCTCCAAGGTTCCCACACGCTCCCCATTGGCTTTCCCACACCACTCCTGTTTTCCAGATCAGCTCCTAAGTGAACATTGTGTTTATGTTACATATAAGTATTTATAGCAGACTCTGATTTTTTTTTTTGAAACTCAGGATTAGATAATTGGTATCCAAAATGACTCTGCTCTTCGGATGGAATTCTGGAACTTAATAGTCATTGGTAAGATGGCAATAAGAAGTCCCCACAGTTGATAGCTGTCACACTCCATCATCATGAGGGTTAAGGCTCTTTGTCTGCTGTCAGACTGGAAGTATAAGTGGAAGGAAGACATTAAATCACGTCACAGGTATTGACAAGACGGTACGGTGGGTAAACAATGCTTGCCACCAAGCCCGATGACCTGAATTGGTGTACGGAACCCACACGGCAGAAGGAGAGAACTGACTCCTGAATGTTGTCCTCTGGTCCACACACGAACTATGGCATATGCGCTCATACACATACGCACAAAATAAATGTTCAAGCAGCATTAAAAAGTCCTGACATAGCCCTAGCACAGGGATGCTCTTTTTTTTTTTTTTTTTTTAAACATTTGTCCTTATAGGAATAAAGAAGAATTAAAGCTGTCCTAGCTAGGGTTCCGCCTACTATGATGAGAAACATGGACCCAGAGAAAGTTGGGAGGAAAGGGTTTATTTAGCTTACTCTTCCACATCATACTCCATCACTGAAGGAAGTCAGGGCAGGAACTCAAGCAGCGCAGGAACCTGGAAGCAGGAGCTGATGCAGAGGCTGTGGAGGGACACTGCTTACTGCCTTGTTCTTCCTGTCTTGCTCAGCCTGCTTTCTTACAGAACTCAGGACCACCTGCCCAGGGGGGGGGGGCAGACTTGTTGCGGCCCCCTCCAACCCTGTAATGGATCACTAGTTAAGAAAACGCCCTCCCTACAGCCAGATCTTCTGGAGACATTTTCTCAACTGGGATTTCATCCTCTCAGATGACTCCAGCTATGTCAAGTTGATGGAAAACTAGCCCAGCCAAAAGCCTTCCCATTCAGACAAATGAAATGTTAAATAACAGATTTTTTTAAAAGGATTTATTTATTATGTATACAACATTCTGTCTCCATGTATGCCCGCACGCCAGAAGAGGGCACCAGATCTCATTACAGATGGCTGTGAGCCATCATATGGTTGCTGGGAATTGAACTCAGGACCTTTGGAAGAGCAGCCAGTGCTCTTAACCGCTGAGCCATCTCTCCAGGCCAAATAATAGAATTTTTATCAAGCAGTATGGCACTCCGTAGGCCACACACCATTATAATATCTAAGAATGTTCTGCCTGTGTAGGTCCCAGATTTCCACGGAGAAATCTCAGCCCTGCGGAGAGGAAGCTCTAGCCCTGGAGAGATGGAAGGGCTGCGTCACATTTTGTGTTGTCGGTTGTGTTTTGTTAGCAATCTTGAGAGTCTCGAAGAAATTTCAGGCTCAGGTCATTACTCGCGTATCAACTCAGGATGTCACGTGAAATCCAGAGAATCTCCACGGAAGACTGAAAAACAACAAAGCCCGTCATCTTCGGCATCCGGGAGAGCAGACCATGTTTCAGGGGATGTCCTGAATGAACGGTTGTGTGTGCCAAGCCTGTAATCCATGTACTCAGGGCGCTGAGGATCTTGACTTTGGGGCTAGCTCTGGGCTATACAGGAAGACCCTGTCTGGAAAACAAACAGAGAAACACAATGTAAAAGGTTGCTAGAGATGTCTTGATGATTTGCTTTGGCACCAAACAGCAAACGGTATCTAACAATTGGGGTAGACACATTAGGGTGTGTTTGCCTCTAGCAAGCACCCCTGATGTGGGATTTCCCTCTACATACCACTGATTAATAAAGAAGCTGCCTTGGGCCTGTCACAGGGCAGAAAAGAGTAAGGTGGGAATTCCAAGCAGAGAGTATTAGCAGTATTATCTGTCTGCTGTGCAGATGCAGAGATAGTGTAGATTAGGATGGATTTTTCGGCTTGTGATCCTAGAGTATATTATGCCCTGTGCATATGCCTCAGTTTCCCCATCAAAGAGAAACAGTATGAAACCTTAAAGGGTTGTTAGAGGTTTCTTTAGGGAGATAGTGTTAATGAGGTACTCAGAACAGGAGCACACAGTAAGCATTTATTAAATACATTGTTTTGGACACAGGATCTCAGTGATTTGCCTGCTCCCACCTCTTGAATGCTAGGATTAAAGGCCTATGCCACCCCCAGGCTATTAAATTTATTTTTAACAGATCAATTGATGCTACGTAACACGCTCCAAGTGTGGAAGATACAGAGAGGAATAGGATTTGTGAAACGGATGGAGTTGGATAGACAGTTACAGTTACTACACCTGTACTTGGGATAAAAGAGCCAGGCGAGGTGGTGCACACAAGTGGGGGGTTGAGGCAGGTGGATGGTCACAAGTTCTAGGTCAGCCATTCAAGAATCCTGAAAGAGAGAAAAACAGAAAGAAGGGAAGGAGGAAGGGAGGGAAGAAGGAAGGAAAGAAAAAGGAAGAAAGGAGGAAGGAAAGAAAGAAAGAAAGAAAGAAAGAAAGGGGCAGAGAGTAAGAGGGAGAAAATAGATGTGAAAAACTTTTGATATTGTTAAGTTCAGGGAACCTTAGAACTAATAGTCAAATTCCTAAACAAATGTGACCCTGGAGTTTCACGGTGCAGAATGAATAGGTGTCGTCCAGTCAGATAAGGAAGGAAGGGCTCCTTGATAGGAAGAAGACTGTTAAAAAGCATTAGGTAGTGTTCTGATGTGACCGCGAGGGTAGAGTGTACGATGAAGCTAGAAAGCCTGGTATAAGCAGCCAGCCTGTATGTGCTGTGTTAAAGTTTGGACTTTATCCTAAAAGCTATAAAGTCTCCCAGACTGTTCAAACAGGGGAAGGAGAGACCAGAGACCATAACGGGTTAGATTTCGAGACACTAAAGGTTGCTTCTGTTGCCCAAGTGATGGTAGTGACTAGAGAGAAGGCAAGGCTTGACAACTTTTTTTTTTTTTTTTTTTTTTTTTTTTGCAGATTTTACAAGTCGGAAGCAGAGTTTGAAATAAATGTTGAGAATGAGATCTGGCTTAGAGGGCGGCTGGATGGTGGTTCATTGGCTGACCACAGCAAGGGAAAAGGACTCTAGAAATACCCCTTATTTTCAAGGACAGTGGTGGCTAAATTGCAGCTATTATTATTACTATTATTATTGTTGTTGTTGTTGTTTATTGTAAAGCTAAAGTTTAAAGAAGCCAAGGCCAAGTTAGGATAGCCAAGTGTTATTTACTATGAAGAAGTTGGAAGGCTTGGAAATTCAAATTTTTTTTATTTATTTATTTGTTTCTTCAGTATACAGTGTTCTGTTTGCATGTATGCCTGCGGGCCAGAAGAGGGCACCAGATCTCATTACAGATGGTTGTGAGCCACCATGTGGTTGCTGGGAATTGAACTCAGAATCTCTAGGAAGAGCAGTCAGTGCTCTTAACCTCTGAGCCATCTCTCCAGCCCCCTAGTTTTATTTATTTATTTATTTTTTTGTCTTTTCTAGGCAGGGTTTCTCTGTGTAATTATGGCTGCTCTGGAATTTGCTCTCTAGACCAGGCTGGCCTCGAACTCAGAGATCCGCTTGCCTCTTCCGCTCGCGTTCTGGGATTACAGGCGTGCGTCACCATGCCCGGCTTGGATTCAAAGTCTTAACTTGAACATCTGGGGTGTGAAACAAGGCTTTGAGTTCGGCTCAGAGTTATAGTGCGCCGGTTTTGGACGTACTGAATCCGAGTCACAGCAGGACAAGTAAGTAGTGAACGCTGTTTTCCACGAAGTGAGAAATAGAGAATCTGAGCTCAGGAGAAAAGTTTGCGTCAAAAGTAGCCTCGGTGGTGGGAGGGAGCCAGAAAAGGAGCCTCTTTTTTTTTTTTTTTTTTCCCCACATGAATTCAGTCTAGCTCGACCGTCTCTGCTATTTCTTCCACCACCCTTGCATGTGACACCTAACATTTCTCAGACCGCCAATCCCAAGATAAAAGAGTAGATGTCCGGCTGGGAGATGGCCCGAGCCCCGACAGCTTTCACACTTTCAACTCTTGGCGAGCTAGGGGATGCGCTGGTGCTTTGCAACCGAGGGGCTCCCCGCGTTCCACCCCTCCAGACTCGCAGAGACGCCCGGCCCCAGTGACGTCACGTGGCCGCCAGGTGATCCTCGGCCTTTGGCGTCAAGCGCTGATGACGTCATCCAGGCGCGGGGCCTTCCACCTCCCCCCCCCTCCCCCGGCGTGGTTGGTCCGGTTCACGTGGGTCGGGCAGGCGCTCCCGCCCCCTCCCACCTGCGGGGGGCGGAGTCCGGCAGGAGGGGGCGTGGCCGATCTGAAGGAGGCGGGGCCGGGGCGGGGCTGCAGGGCGCGGCGGCGGCCAGCCGGGCTGCATACAATAGCCAGGCTGCGACGGGGGCCGAAGGTACGGCCGCGCGGTGGGCGCCCCGCACCGCTGCCCGACCCCATCCCGCCCCGCTCCGCCCGTAGGCTGCACGGGATCCCCTCCGCCATCGCCGGCTCCCCGCAGTCGCCTCTCCCCGCTCACAGCCCGCGCTCTCCCCAGTCTCCCCCTCAGCGAGCGCACCCCGCCCCCTCGCCATCCCGGCGCGCCCCCCGCTCCCCGCGGCCCGCAGCGGCCCGCCTTAGAACCCCGGGCGTGAGGTACCCGGAGAACGCGGGGCGGCCGCCCGCGCACCCCGCCGCGCTCTCCCCGGTCTCGGCGGCCGCCGCCAGGAGGAGGAGGAGGAGCAGAGCGAGTGCAGAAGGTGAGAGAACCCCCCCCCCCGCCCGGTGCTCCCCGCATCGCGACGTCCGGGCGCGGGCGCGGGTCGGGGAAGGCGCGGGGGCAGGGGCGTCAGGTGAGCAGAGGCGGGCGCCGCCCCGCGAGGCCGACCGACCGCTCCCCTTCGGGCCAACAAAGGCCCCCGGTGCCAGCTCAGAGGCGACCGCGGGTCCCCGCAGCCGGGACCCTGGGGGACCCCGAAGGCGCGCTCTGGCGGGGGAGGGACCACAGGTCCCGGTCCCTTCGGGGTCCCGGGACGCTGGAACGGACCCGTGACGCAGACGTTTAGTAAAGCAGGGCGGTTTTGGGTCTTTGGGGTCGGTCCTGGTTTGGGAATCACTTTGCGGGTTCATCGTCTTGAAAAATAAAGACTGGAAGTCAATGACTTGTGCCGCCCCTCCCCCACGCCGGGAGTACCCCGTCACTTGGGAAGTTCCGCACAGACTTGGGGAAAGGAGGATGAGAATCCTAGTCTTTTTCACGCCCATTACAAAAGGGCGTGAATTATTCCAACCTTTACAGAATTATTCAACCTTTTAACGGTAAACAATACTGTGAGTGTTTTGGAAGAATACTTGACAATTATTGGGTGATTAAATATTTTAGCCTAAGTTCCTTGTGTTAAACCCCTTGGATAATTACCCTACCCTTTACAATACTCCCAGAACTGCGACAGGTAAACGGAAAGGTTAATCGTAATGTTAGTACTTCTATTTTAAGGATCTTTCTTGAGGGAAGCTTTGTCCCTATGTTTAAGGGTCTCAACCCTGTCAGGAGGGTTGTTCAGCGATACCTCTTTCGGCAGCACCTCCTTCCTGTGTGACCTTGAACAGGTCCCCTCTTCAGAAACAAGCAGCTAGGTAGCAATCACCTACCCCGCTTTCAGGATTCCACCGAAGAATACTCCTCACTGCTCAGTCTTTGCTGGCATCCTTCCTGGTAGAACACAGTTGTCCCCGTTGGGGCGCCTAGTAGCCCACAGAGGTTTCAGTGTCTGCATTTTTAACGCGCTCACTCTGTTTGGAAATCCTAAATCATGTATACTCGAACTCAAGCCACCTCAACGAGAAGCCACATTCCCCCGAAGCCTCTTCGTAGTCTTATGTTTGAACTCATGGCTTGGCCTGATCAGTTTGCATATTTATTCATCTGTTCACCCAACATAGTAATAACCTAGGTAACCTAGACTCTGGAGTGCTCCAATGGTTCAGGCTGCCCTGCTAAGGTCTTAAGGTCTGTGTGGATTTCAAGTGCAGGATACAGTCGGTCTTTGCTCACAAGTCTGAGAGCTCAAAGTTTAGTGGGTGAGGTAGACGTGTAAACAATGAAAGCCCTCTGGGGGACTCTAGCCGAGCAGGGAATGGTGTGCAGTAATTGAGGTTGCTGGACCTGTCTTACAAGTCTTGTCCCGGCCAAAGCAAGTCCTTAGGGAAAGTGACTGCCCCTCATCTGTAAGAGCTGCCCTTGACACGTAGCTTATCCAGTCCAATTCAATGTATGTTTTCTGAGAACCTGCTTTGACGCCTCGTGCTAGGTTTGCAGGAAGCTGTGCACCTTGAGGGAGGTCTTTGTAAAACAAAACTGGTCATGGAAATGCTTCCTGCCCCCACCCCACCCCAGCCCTCCCTCTCTTTTCACAGTTGAAGGATCAGACTCTTCAGGATGGAATAAGAAACCTCTGGAGCCCAGGCCATGCATGGTGTCCTACGTCCCCCTTTTCTTGTCTCTTTTCCGTGTGCCGCTTGGCCCGGAGTGCTGCTTTCCACCCATTTCCTGCCTGGACGGAGTTCTTTGTTGGCTCTCTGAGAGCTAGTCCCTCTTTTCTCCTAGTCTTCTTTGGGAGTGAGCTGCTCCTGTAAAGTCCTCTTTCCGTCAGCAGTCTCGTAGTGAGAGTCCACACCTCCCCCCCCCCCCCCCCCCCCCCCCCCGTGGTACTAGGGATCAAGTGTTCTACTGCTCAGCTATATCCCCAACCCTTATCACATTGAACATTTCAAAATTTTGAGTCAGGACCGGCCTTGGATTCATTCTGTAGCTCAGACAGTGAACCTGTGGTTCTCCTTCCTTAGCTTCCTAGCTGGGAGACCATTAGGTCCAGCGGCTTGTGAATCTCGTAGGGCTTGTATGAAGATCAGAGGGCAGCGTTGGAGAACCGGGTCTCTTCTTCCCAGGGATCAAACTCAGGTTATCAAGCTTAGAGGCAAGCACCCTTTCTGGGTGAACCATCTTGCTAGCCCTACATATTTTTAAATGTTATCTGTTGTTATTGTGTGAGTGTTAGTGGGAGTTTCATGGAGGTCAGAGGACAACTTTCAGGAGCTGGCTTAGTCTCTCCTCACAGTGGGTTTCAGGGGTGGAACTTAAGGTCATCATCAGGCATGCTCTTTAAAGCAAGGACTTTTTTTTCCCTTTGACCTGTTGACCCATCTCGTTGGATCTACTTTTTAATTTGAGAGAGGACCTACCCAAGTTGCTCAGGCTGGCCTTTGAACTCCATGTATAGTTCAGGCAGTCCTTGAACTTGGAATCCTCCTGCTTCTAGCTTCTGAGTAGCTGGGGTTCTAGGCCCGTGCCATTCGGCCTATCTCTGTGAATTATTTGAGGTCAGGGTATATTTAGACTTAGCTCCTAGCACTGCTCCTGGGACTATGAATAAGTGCTCGAATGCTTGACTATGAGAATGGATGAAAGAAGTCCTGTGAGCTCCTGAGCTGGGTTACCTAATCTGGATGGAACAAAAGCCTGGCTCTTGGACCAGTGGTGTCAACCAGGGAATTTGTCAGCTTATTGTTGAGTCTCATCCCAACCTACAAAATAAAAAGATCAGGCTTGGGGCCCAGAGATCCCTGCTTTCTTAGGCCCTCCAAATGATCCTGATGCTTATTAAGGTTGAGAAACCACTACAGAGTTTAAAGATCTGTGTTTTGGTCAAACCAGCGCCGTGTCCTCTGTGTCCCGTTGTCCCCCCCCCCCTTTTTCTTACTTGCAGTATTTGGACCCTGCCATTCCCTTCCCTCCGATCCATCTCTTGCCACCAGAGTGAATGCTCCTTGAGGGCTGGAAGTCTCTCTGTTCAAGTTCATCGCTCAGAGCCTCGAGGAGTGAGTGACTGACCACAGCGGCACGGACACTCAGGCGTTTGTTGGGTGAATGCTGTGATTTAGTCCTCTGACAGCCAGCTGCTGCGTTGTGGTCTTGTCAGAGAATAGCGGGAGTGAAGAGCAAGCCTTTCCGATTTGCAAGTCCAGAAGAATCTTACCGTTTTGGGACATTCGTTTTTCCTTTAGCCATCTTAGTTAGCTACCTTCCTCCCCTCCCTGTTTTTTTTTTTAGTATTTTGTGAAACAAGGGTCTTTGTAGCCCAGATTGACTATAAATGTGCGCCAGCCTTCCTGTCTCAGTTTCTTGAGCGACACTGCAGGCCTTTTCCTGGCGTTGCTGTCTCTCTACTAGAGAAAAAAAAGCCTCCAGAGCTTTCCAACTTAGAATATTGTTTTAGCCATGGCCTGAAAACTGCTGAGATATCGTAGGCCACGATTCTTTCTTGAGAATTTACAGCTTGGTTTTGTAGGCCTGACTTCTGCAAGTCAGACTTTTGGGTCTGAACGTGAAACTGTCTCTTCTAGATGGCCTGTGGTTTTGGTCTTTTTCTAGTGATGTTTAAAGCCATGTAAAGGCTTACTTGAGCCCATGACTTCCTTATGAAACTCTAGAAGTGTTTTATTTCTTTCACTTTCTGTGTGTGTGTATATATATGTATGCATGTATTGTTTTCTTGTGTGTATGTGCTATGTGTGTGCATTTGTGTCTGTTGAGCGTCTTCAATTGCTTCTCCACCGTATTCTTTGAGACGTGGGTCTCTCACAGCCAGGTAGACTGGCTGGCCAGCAACCCCCAGACATCCTCTTGACTGTCTAGGCAGTGCTGGGATTAGCCGTCTACTCTGGCTCCCAGCAGGGTTTAGCGGGTATATTCCGGCTCCCAGTTTGAGACACAGGTGCTGGGGATCCAGACTCAAGTCCTCGTGCTTGCGTGGAAAGCGCTGCACCGAATCACTTCTCCAGCCCAGTGCATTTGTCAGTTTCTTACTAGCCTAACCCAGCGTGCCCAGGCGTCCCCTTGCCTAACATCCCTCAGAGAAGTGGCTTTGTTGATTCGTCCTTGACCTTAGGAACAGTAACTGGGCTCATCTCTGCACGTACCAGCCCTTCTCTGGGGTGGGTATTCACCTGTATATAGGGGGTAGCCCAAGCCCTTAAGGAAATATTGAAATGAATGGGCAAATAGAGGGATTTAATTGTAAAGGTGAGAGGAAGCTGCCTTTGTGCCCCCTCCCCATTTACAGGAAGGTTGTTAAGCAAGTGTCATTTTAATAAACACACTTCAAAAATCATTTTGAAGCTAGGAGTAGTGGCCAGTATTTTTAAATTACAGCAAGTAGAAGGTGGGTTTTTTTTCCAACTCGTAGAATAACCACTTATGATAATGTTGGTGTCTCGGAGGTGAAGAAGCAGAGGCTTGTCGCGGTACAGGAAAGTCGTTCAAAGACTGGCTGCATGTAAGTGACAAGCCTCAGTTCTCATCCATATCCACCTGATCCTAGCAGCCACGCACTATTTCTTGTTTTCAGGGTGCTTGAGTTTTTATTCATGGGGGCATGGGAATATTTTACAAATAAAAAAATGTTATTGGAGCGAGAATGAAATTTTCTTCGTGTAGCTGCCCTTGTTTGTGCATTAGGAAGACCGAAGCACATGAGCACCATGAGCAGTTAATCATTTCTGTGGGAAAAGGGTTTTTCCTGGGTGTATTTTCATCGGTTTCACAGTAGCCCTGTATTCCCATTTTTTGAGTTAGGAGACCAAAGGTCATAGAGCAGTGTCAGTTTGCTGGAAAACACATCTCAGCCAATGCCTGAGTATTGGCGTGGAGCACACTTCGGGATTCTAGGCACAGTAGCTTACTTCTGCCTCTATTGTATTG